TGGGTTTTTTTTTTATGTTTGTCTTTTCTAAGACATTGTAATTGGTGTTAATGAGGTTTTCCAATAACTCTAAATTACCTGGTCATATTTTCATATTTCCTGTCAACTTTAAACATTTATTCAGTCAAAAACACGGCCGTGTGCTCAATGACTGACTGGTGTCGTCACCGCCGGGCTTAGCAAGTTTGCAGAGGGAAACCCTGCAGCCAAATAACTTGTATGTGATTAAGCTTCATATTTTGAAAAAAAATGTTTAAATTGCATCTATTAATATTATTACTTTACAGTTTGATGCACATTCCTTTAAACTAACAGGAGAAGTTAAGGACGATGACTCAAAACTGACCAAAACAAAAAGAAATTAGAATACCTTCAAAACTGCTTGATTTCCCTGTTTATATTAAGAAAAAGGAGGAAATGAAGGAATATGCAGTCTGATTATTATAACTCTTGTGTAAAGTCCCAGTGTTACTTTCTCATCTAAGGGAAGCTTCATACAAAATGATAGAAATAAATGTAAAAACTGATGCCAATATTAGATTTGTATTTTTATCCTTATAATCACTGCATTTTTACACCAATCTGCTAAATGAACAATATTTTTAAATTGTTGCTAACCATTTACTTTACAGAGTGAATTTAATAAAAGTTCTTGATCTTTTTGCCTCAAGTTTTGTTCCATAGAATTCAACATATGCAGCATTTAGCACTGACATTAAAAGCAAAGCAGATCCTTAGGATGCTGTTCAGAAACTACTCATCTTCTTACAGTCAAACATTTCACCAAGCTACAGTGAATATATCCTTCCGAACATTTGGATCCAAGTGGAGGCGATTAACCTCTGAGGGGCAGCGGGGCTGGAAGGAAACACTCACCCTGAAATCCAACAGCCCAGCATTTTTTCTGACTTATTTCATCTTCTATAACTGCGCTGAAATAACTGTCTGCCCTCATAAGTACAGAGGAGAGGAGTCAAAGGTTATTTTCTAAATAACTCTGGTTAAGTTAGTAGTCTTTCAACTGTAGCTGGGCAACATAGAAAAACCAAATATCCAGCTCACACATTAATAACTCTCTTTTTCATGTTAGGGATCAGTTATTAATACACTAAACTGCTTTAATGGGGCTAAAATGTCATTTAACTTCCTGTATGCCACATAAACAAAAAGCTCAGAAATATGCAAGCAGTTTGCTTCATCATTGTCTGATTTACTCCTTCATAAAACACAGTCTGTCATCTCAAGCAAAACCAGAGGAGAAGAACATTTTCAAAAGGTTTAACAGGGTTTATTTACATTAAAGAATAATGAGCTCATAAATGAAACCTGATGTCATTACTAGAGGAAAAACACCAGACCGTTTCACTCATCTGGGCATTAAAAATCAAACTCGGATAACTGTACCAACTTATTTACCAGTTTTTGAACCGTAGAAAGTCTTAACTCTGCGGTAGCCATGAAGGCAAAGATTATTCATCTCTATTATTTGTTAAATATGTTGCTCAGTTTGGATTAGTTTGATGACCGGGTCTAAAGTATGTGTCCAAAAATGTGAGTTTCTAGAGTAATTTGTAAATACATTTTTGGCCTCATCTGAAACCATTCAGCAGGTAAATAAAGATTATGCATTCCCATTAATTCTAAAGAATTCAGAAAAGCCTGAAGGAGAAGTTTGAGGACATTTTCTACTGTCTAATAAGAGCAGCAGAAAAATCCAGCAGCAGGTCTGATCACCAGGAGGCAGAGAAACAGAACTCACTGCAAAAACATTCAATCTTACAGAGGATTTTACTCTTGATTTCTATAGAGAGAATGTCTTGGTATACTTGAAATGAGGCAAAATTAACTCATAAGTAACTTTTCAGCAAGACATTGGAGCTTGTTTTAACTCTGTAATTAATTAATATTAATGAAAAAGCATGTGTTCCACTGGCAAATTATTTCACTTATAATGTGGGGAAAAAGTCTTGTTATAAGTTAAATAAACTCCCGGTGGAAGTGGCATTTTCCCATCAATATTAGGAAAGTATTAATTTAAAACGAGCTCCTACATTTCTTGCTGAAAACTTACTTGCAAGTTAGTTTCGTCTTATTTCAATAATACATTTGCACTAGAAAGTAGACCAAGAGTCTTTTGTTAAGATTGTGTTTTTGCAGTGCCGTTCCCAATCACAACAATCTTTTCACATATTTGAAGTCATTTACATTTTAATTGCAAAGGTACGCATAAATTCAACTTGAATACAAAAAATGTTTTAACCAAAACAAAACTTTTTCTCAAATTTCTGGATTGAGTGTCAAAGGGACAAAAAAGCTCAAAAATGCCACAAAAAAAAAAAGATAAAAAAAAATTAAAAAATAAAACACTAAAAGTTTCTGTCCCTGCAGGACAATATTTACCTCCATTTAGACATGTGTAAATATGTCTGAACACCACCGCTGCGTGGGTGACTGGTGGTTTTTTTATTTTTTCCTTCAGCAACAACAAGTCTAACAGCTGACATGAGGGACTTCAATTAGAGCCTCCAGAAGACCCCTGTTTAAATTATTCAGCATGGACAAGGTTAATGGAGATAAACCCACGGGCAAATTAACCGTGTGTGAGAGAGGAAGAGGCAGAGGAGGTTTGGGGAGGATCTGCGGTCCAAATATGCATCAGGTTTCTGACTAAATGTTAAGTAAAATGTTTGAAATGAGTCCGTTTAGTTAAATAGGGTTTATCACACCAACCTGCGCCATCGGATCGGGATAAAAATCAGAGCGAACCGAGCTGCTGGTGTTCGGAGGCCGAGCTGCAGGTGGTTCAGAGCCGCGTTCAATAAAACAAAAACTACGAGCTACTCAATATTTACAATTCATACTAAATATGATTTTAACTCTCACGAACGTGAAAAGAAATACTCAAATGTGTAAAAATATATAAGCCTTAGGCATTTTAATTTACATTAATTTAGGAAATAATTTAAAAACGGGGAACAAATTTTAAACTAACGCGGTTATCTGAGGTTTTAAGCTAGAATTACTGCACGAAGGCTGTGAGCAGAAATTAATGATGGCGGTGATCAAAGGAAAGAAAGAATTAAAGTTAAAAAAAAGAATGAAATAAAAATGTCTACTTAAAGAAAATAGCAGAAAAAAGAAGAGATGAAGAGGCGCAAAGGAGGTTCTAAAATGTCTGCTGTTTAAACGGACCGGCCCGAATCGTCCGCATCAGACAAACGTCAACTTGAAGGAAGAAGAGAGCTGGGCTGAAAGTCGGACGGTTCTGCATCCCGGCGTGGAGCTGCGAGCAGCGGGCAGCCCGGTGAGCCCCGCCGCCGCTGCCGCTGCTGCTTCTGCCGCAGCTCCGGCAGGACCGTCATCCTCTCGGCTGGCGCTGATTGGCTGCTTCCAATGACAGCTCCGCACATGATTGCGGGAGGAGAAGCCCGACCCCCTTTCACTCTTCTTAAGGAGCCATTCATAAACTACTCAAACCCAGCGCCGAGCTGAGAGTGGACGAAAAGTGAGCGAGGGCAGAGAAAGGCACGAAGAAGAGATGAAAGCTCCAGCAGCGCGGTGTCTTTAAGCCTGTGCAGCCACCTGGTTCTGACCCAGAACCTGAATATGACTCCCTGGAAGTGCTCATGACCGGGACTGATAATCTAGCAGGCTGCTCAGATTCATCTCTATGCACTTCCTCCTTCTCACACTGACGTCCATCCGCTGCTAAAAGCAAGAAGAAAAAAAAAAGGAGAGAAAAAAAACTTTGATCCAACATATTTTTTTCCTTTTCTTTTTTTTTTTTTTTTTTTTTTTTCGCTGCTCTGGAAGCTTTTGCCTCTGGCTTTACCGGTCAGCGTTGGATCCGTCAACTTACTGCGACTCTCCGGTGTACAGCCCGGACCTCTGCCCCAACATGATCGCGACGCAGGCGAAGCTGGTGTACCAGCTCAACAAATACTACAACGAGAGATGCCAAGCGCGCAAGGCGGCCATTGCGAAGACCATAAGGGAGGTTTGCAAAGTGGTGTCGGATGTCCTCAAGGAGGTGGAGGTGCAGGAGCCCCGCTTCATCAGCTCCCTCAGCGAGATCGACGCGCGCTACGAGGGGATGGAGGTCATCTCCCCGAACGAGTTCGAGGTAGTGCTCTACCTCAACCAGATGGGGGTCTTCAACTTCGTGGACGACGGCTCGCTGCCCGGCTGCGCGGTGCTGAAGCTGAGCGACGGCCGCAAGAGGAGCATGTCGCTGTGGGTAGAGTTCATCACCGCCTCGGGCTACCTCTCAGCCCGAAAGATCCGCTCCCGGTTCCAGACTCTGGTGGCGCAGGCCGTGGACAAGTGCAGCTACCGAGACGTGGTGAAGATGGTGGCCGACACCAGCGAGGTCAAGCTGAGGATCAGGGAGCGGTACGTGGTGCAGATCACCCCTGCCTTCAAGTGCACGGGCATCTGGCCCAGAAGCGCGGCGCAGTGGCCCATGCCGCACATCCCCTGGCCCGGACCGAACCGGGTGGCCGAGGTCAAGGCGGAGGGCTTCAACCTCCTGTCCAAAGAGTGCTACTCGCTGACGGGGAAGCAGAGCTCGGCGGAGAGCGACGCCTGGGTGCTGCAGTTCAGCGAGGCCGAGAACAGGCTGCTCATGGGCGGCTGCAGGAAGAAGTGTCTGTCGGTCCTGAAGACTCTGAGGGACCGGCACCTGGAGCTGCCGGGCCAGCCGCTCAACAACTACCACATGAAGACCCTGCTGCTGTACGAGTGCGAGAAACACCCGAGGGAGACGGACTGGGACGAGTCGTGCCTGGGAGACCGGCTGAACGGCATCCTGCTGCAGCTCATCTCCTGCCTGCAGTGCCGCAGATGCCCCCACTACTTCTTGCCAAACTTGGACTTGTTTCAGGGAAAGCCTCATTCGGCCCTGGAGGCTGCGGCGAAGCAGACGTGGAGACTAGCGAGAGAAATCCTCACCAACGCCAAAAGTTTGGACAAATTATAGAACAAGCGCCGAGAGACTTTTTTTTATTTGTTTTGTTTTTGGGATCAAATCTATAAGACTTCTGCAACCAAGTCTCCAAGAAATGTGAAAAAGAAAAAGAAAAAAGCCGCAGCAAAGCAAACCCTTTGAATAAATCGGAGCAAATTGGGCCGCTGCCGCAGAAACAAGTGAAGGTACAAATTTCTGATAAATGTTCCTACATTTCCTTCCGTCTTCTTGAAATGTTTTCACAAAGTGAAGAACCTTTTATTTAAATATATGCACAAAATCGCTAAGTGAAAGATTGTAGTGTGCCAAGTTCTTTTTTTTCCATTATGTGACTTCAGAAGAAATGTTAATAAAATGTTGCAAATTAAATTACAACTTGGCCTCATGCTTTGACGAGTAGATCTGGCTCCACTTCCATGATATCTTTCAAAATAAATTATAGGAAAACATGAGAATTTTTTTTTTTTAAGTATCTAAATAAAACAACAGATTTAACGGAGTTTATCTCAGTTTTTATTTCCCTGTTAGCATCTCAGCTTTCAGCTTAAACAGACAAAATCACGAACAAATATTTACATCTGATTAATGAGTGAATTATTAATTATACAGTTTTGATCAGTGCCGTCGCCATATTTATTTCTGTGCTGTTCAGGAGATTTAACCAAGAGCTGGTTCCTGTCCAATAAACACACACCGTTCAATTGAAACGATTTCACGCAGTTCTGCGGTTTCAAAACCACCTGTAGGTCCAACAATTTTTATTTATTTTTTTATTGTTATTTCTCTCCTCTTAGGTTATTTTTTTATATATGCAGATTTTCTACTGATCTAGGAACTCTCTGAATTTGTCACCGTTTTCGGTATTGCGGGAAAAATATTACAAAAATGATTCAGAAAACAGTTTTAGAACATTTTAATTTCTTTTTTTCAGAAATGCCCCTCTACATACTTTGAGCTTTTTTATATAAAATAATGCATAACACAATTTTAATTTTCAAATGGATTTGAAAAAAAAAAAGAAAAAAGAAAAAAGGAAACATGTTCGGTCTCAAGCATTTCCCAGGAAGTCGGAACATTCAGTCCGCTCTAGCAGCGGGTCGGTGCAGACAGAGAGCCCTCCTTACCTTTGGATCGATGTCCTTGAAGCTCGGATCGTCCTCATCCACCTCAAAGAAGAGCTCGGAGGCGGTGACCGACAGGGTGCCTTTCACCACCGCAGCCGGAGCGATGAGCTGGGCGCTGGTGCTCAGGTTTACCGGGCCTGCCGGACACACACACTCCGCTCAGAACTTCCACTCACACCGCTGTGTTAAGTTCAAATTAATACATGCTTACTGCTTCTGCGAATTCTCTTACAACAATAATACGCCGTTAAAGGCCCAATGGAGAAGTAAATATGAAAAATAAGAGAAAGAAATCACAAATCAAAGCAAAAATAAACTTCGTTAAAACTGAAGACATTTTCAGTATCGACTCTCCGTCAGTGAAGCATTGACTGCGGGCTTTGGGGAGAAGCCGCTTCATCTCTCATCCATCTTAATTTATGCCAGTATGACACAAAGATCCGCGGGCTCAGGGGAGCAGCGAGCGGAGGTTCTTCTTGCCCGGCCCGGCGCTGCACATGTGCGGGCATTGTGTTGCAGATGTGCGCCGCGGAACCGCGGAGCTTGATTTCCCAGCAGAGCGCGGGGCGGCGGGCTAACACACAAATGGATCCACGCTCAACTCCCTGTGCTGAACCCCGGGGAGCGCTGACACGTTATCCGTGGGTTGGAATAACAGTTTTTTTTTTTTTTTAGCCCGTTCACTCAACCAAAAAAAAAAAAAAAAAAAAAAAAAAAACAAAAAAAAAAAAAAAAAAAAAAGACATTCAATTCCACCTGGGGCAGAGACAGCAGCTGCTGCTGCTTCAGGTGATGAGATGAGTCGCCGCAGCTCCCAACTTCCGCCCCTCCGCAGATCACGTCATTAGACAGGGATCAACGTTTAATCCCGCTGTTGCTTTATTTCAACCGACTCTGCGTTTATTCTGCTGCCAGCGTCCCCAGATTATAAATCTAATCCGGTTAGAGAAGCGGAGTAATATTTAATTAAACCAAGATTATTGAAATATTAGGCCCAGATTTAGTCCAAAAGGAGAAGGAATAAAATCCTACACGTACTGTATGAAGGTTTATTGGCTTAATAAGCTTGAAGAAGAAAATGTAAAGATCTTGTAAAAATAAAAATAAAAAATAAAAATTTAGATTCTGATCCAGAATCCACATTGCTAAAATATATTTGATAAAAATAAAATCTTTGAGAGTTGAGAGGGTAAAAAAATAGCATGTGTGTCTTTAATGCTCCACAGATGAAGTTCACTGGCAATCATAAAGGATGCGTAATATGTTTAATAGGATGTATAATAATTTAAAAAATATGTCTATTGTTCTGGAAAGTAACTGCACCTTTATATCACAACAAGACGGAATCTTTAAGATGTGATTTAAAATATAAAGACAAAATGTTCTTAAACAACAAAACAAATCTATACACTGCAAAAAAAAAAATATTACCAGTTTTTTTGTCTAGTTTCTGGTTCAAATATCTTCATACTCCTGAAAAAAGGTAAAACTTACAAGTAACTTTTCAGCAGGATATAGAAGCTTGTTTTCAGTAAATAATTCTGTAATACTGATGACAAAGTATTTTTCTACAGGCAGATTGTTTCACTTATAACATGGGAAAAATATCTTGTTAAAAGTGAAACTAGTAGTTTTTCATCTATGTTAAGGAATTAATGACTTAAAACAAGCTGCTATATTTTGCTGAAAAGTTACTTGCAAGTTAGTTTTGACTCATTTCAAGTGTACCAAGATATTTGTAGTAGAAACAAGACCAACAGTACTTGGTAAGACTTTATGTTTTTGCAGTGTATTCAAATGAAGTAACAGGAACACAGAATACAGTGTGTGCTTGTGTGTTTGCGTGTGTGAGATGTTGCTGACTGTAAGGCAGGAGAAGAAGATGATCTCCTTTCGTACCTGTTAGGTTATCCAGGTCTTTGTCCTCCAGGGAGGACAGGGTGTCGTCATCCCCGTCCAGGGACGTCTCGCTCTCCGTGTTCCGATTGGCCAGAGCCTGGCTCCTGATGGACTGCTTCAGGATGTCGTCCTCGGACGCTGCATGGGAAGGACAGAGAGTTTCTCTTCTCATTCAGCTCATGCTTCGGCGTTTTGGTGGAGAACACTGCAGCTCTGCTCGGCCGCGTTGCTCAGTCACACATGGAGGGCTTTTAGCTTATCGTTATTAATCAGAGGGACAAACGCTCCGCTCTATTGCACAATGCAGCTTGACGGAACGCAGACATTCATCTGAGGCTCGAGTCTTGCTAAATTAAAACTGAACGTAATGTTTTTGTTCTAACATTTTTTATGGAAAGCTTCATTCCTCTCGGTGGAAGAAAAACACATCAACAAAATGGATGTCTAATCGTCGAATCTTGAGTGTTTGCAACTTTTTAGACCTAAAAAAAATGCAAGGAAATGAATTCATTTCATTTTATAACCCCAACAGTTTTTCTACATCAGCAGATCAGTTTTCACACCTAGCGTCATGACAACCGGGGACGGCGGTGCCTGCTGCTGGTTCAGACCAACGTCAAGCTGACATCTAAATGCAACATCCAAACACACACACGCACACACATCAGCTCTTTATCCAAACCCCATTTAAACAAGATGAACAGATTAGGATTTGAGCTGCTGATCAACAATCTGCAAACAGTAAAAAAGAGTCGCATGGCGGACGGGGCTGGAGAGCCTGCACTCTTTGTAAACACGCAGCCCGTAACGCAGCTGCTAATCCCAGCGTTCTGGTCGAGGAAGCGCCTCGGCGGAGTGAGTCGTCAGAAAATCCCGGGGATTTCTCATCATCACCTGAGACGGAGAGGAGCAGCCAGACTCAAGGAGCCGCCGCAGGAAGCGGGGCCTTGTCATGGAAAATATGCAGCTCACTGATATTTAGAATGGCCTTCCTGTAATTAAGCCTCCCTGGAGGATTCTTTAGTTAGCGGCAGTGAAATTACTACCAGCTCTCCTAATATGTACCACATGCCTTTTGTGTTTGCGCCACGCCAAGTGGACAGAAGAGTTGTTAGAAGAGCTGGAAAAAAATAAAAACAGGCAGCGGGACAAAACTTTAATGCACCGTTTATTAAATCATTTTAAAATTACAATGGGGTGAAGGGGGGGGGGGGTCAAGTAAAAATAAAACACTCTGATGGGATTCAAAACAGACACTGACAGCCTTCCGTAGAAATGTTAGGAGGGAATTTTATGGAATATTAAGCAGCATGTCACAAACCATGAAGAAATAAGTTGTTCCTTTTAGTTCAAGAAATACAAACGTAACATCCTGTCCTGAAGATTTTCACACTGAAGATATTGTTTTTCTGTTTTGTCTCATTTGTATAGTTTATTTGAAATGACGCTTTAGTCAAATCTTATTCAACTTTATACATTTGACACTTTAGCTATTTTAATTGACTTCTCACTTTATATATTTTACTATTTTAAACTTTTTACTCTTTTAGGAACTCATTTCCTCTATTTTAATCTTGTTTTTTTTTATTTACACTACTTTGAACTGAATTTTTTTCTACGTTAACCATTATTTTAGAACAGAAATTTTAAATCTTTTTTATTTCACTCTAAATTTATTTTAAAATTTTTTTCTGAATTTCTTAAATACATTTTCAAATTAACATTTTTGCTATTCTATTAACAGTTTTGTTTAATTTGATTTATTTGGTTAGACTTTATAAATAGGTCTCTCTCATCATATATATATATATATATATATATATATATATATATATATATGCACACACACACCATGCACACACACACCCACAGAGAGAGAGAAATAGGTGTAGTTATACACATATTACAGTTTTGTATCTTAATCTTTCAAGCGTCTATCAAACACTCAGCAGCCTGACTTACAGTATTAAATTCAGGAAGTAAAACACAAAAATTATGAAAAAGTAAAATCCTGACTGGCAGATTGCAAATATTTCTACTTTAAAACAAAAACAAATGTAATCAAGTAACTTCAGCAGAACCAAGCTTTCTGCCCAGAACTACCTGCTCACTCCATTCAAGCATGCACGGTCGTGGCAATTAAATTGTCAGAATTAACAAATTTGTTTTTAACGGGAGCGCGGCCAGCAGTGTGGTCATGAGGCGAGTATTGATTAGCAGAACAGAGACATTAGTCTTCAGGTATTTACTCTGCCACCTCTGCAACACGGGCCCCATACCAGACCGAATCAATCCCCCCGAAAAAAAAAAAAAATGCTTCTATCCAGCCATAAATACAGAGCAGCCTACTCTAGTCCACTGGCAGCCACACGCTTCCCTCTGGAAGTCGACTTGGCTCAGAATGAATGACAACAGTTTCTCCCCTCTTTAACACAGGCAGCAGAACGTTCACGGTATTTGTTTTCTTTTTTTTTTTTCTTCTTTTTTTTTTTAACACAGAGTTCAGATTGTGTTTAAAATAAAAACGTGAACAGCGTTCTAATTTTAGTACAAAATTTGACGAGTAGCCAGCTAACCGAGGGGGGCTCCAGCATCTCTTGGATATTTTCTCAGAGAGTGAGCCTGTTTCCCCCCCAACCCCAACACCCCCCTCTGCAGCTGATGAATATAATTACAGCCAGATACGACCTCTGTGCTCCGTGTGAAAACTCAGTGCCGCGTTCTCCTCTGGAGCAGAACTTCCGTAACAAATGTCGGGTCGGCTAAAAACAAGACGAAAGGTTACATCAGAAAATGGATGCCGTCAGAGCTTCGGTGTCACCGAGTTATTCTAATGATATATTCCCACAGTTTAGTCGCACAGTATTCCCTTACAAGGTTTGGTCATTCGGCAACTGGCTGCTGGTTATTTTTACACAATATCTGAGGCAGGGATAGAGATTTTTCTTGCATTCATTTGTCTTGTGCCACAGATGGATGAATTCACGACATTGGCTTAAGTTATTCGGAATAGAATCAAACCAGCGTCGTGGATGGGAGCCTACAGGGGGACCCTCGACTCATTTTCCTCTGTGAAGAAAAAAAAAAGCACTAATGGGAGAATAAGTGGGATGTCTGAGCTCGGTTATGGCTTGGCTGGAGGGAAACGTGAAGAAACTGTATGGGAAGTTGAACCAGGGGAAGAGCGACCTGCAGCTGCACTGGAGCCGTTACTGCAGGACCAGGAGCCTCCCAGAACCCTGGAGGTCCCCAAAACTTATTGCCTCTAAATCATTTTCTTACCGGCTGCTGTCACACCTGCCATTCATCCCTGGAGAAGACGACGCATTAGGAGGGACACGCAGGGGAGAAGAAAAAGTCATGTTCAGCGGAGGATAATTCAGGATAGTCCCACCGTGCAGCGCGGTTCACATTAACCATAAAATTGAGCAAACTGAAACTACAAAAATAAGTTTGCTTAATGGAAACATTCAAATAAAAATAAAGAAAATCTCATTTTTAATATGTTTTTGTGGTAGGGTGAGGCGGCTTTTTAAATGTATGGAGATATTTTGCAAAACTGCAATGGAAATACTTTGTTTCACATCACAGATGTTACTACTGGCAGAAGCGATGAATAAGACAACAGGAAGTGGTAGGAGGATGATTGATTGTTTTATTTTTTCATACAATGTGAAGCCGGCTCCACCATAGCTCTCACAGCATCACACAGTTCATAAAAAGTTGTCTGATTCCAACGTGTTGAATCCATAACTCTTCTGTAAAATGGCCGACTACAGTTTCCCCATACATAGAGGCTTGTCGCTCCAAACGCCTGATTAAGACGCTGGCATCTCCTCTCATTGGCTGACAGATGATGAACATTAGTACTATGGTTGAATTATGAATAGAGCTGGATGAACTGTTTACACCCGTTGCTCCCATGAGATTTAACGACTCTAGAACCATTACTACTGCACACAAAATCAGTAAGGGTTCCAGTGCCGGACAAAAAGGACTACTGTATCGTTCCTTTTGGCTCAGCATAGCTGTTGCCGTTTTTCTTTACAGAAATGCGATTGGACACAAGCTATGCTCCTCACAAGAAGGGAAACCAATCAGTCGCCTCTCACACCGACTCTCATTTGTAGTTACATCATCCTTGTTAAGAGATTTTACAGGTGGTGTTGAATTTTTGTAACAGATCGGTTCTACGTGTTAATACGTCATCAGGTTGTTTCAGCAAGTCTCTGTAAAAGTCCTCAGAAAACAATACAGCAATGTATTGATTTTAGGAAATATCATGTGTATTTTTAAATACTAATGTATTTTCAAAAGTACCTCAGTACTTTAACTTTCGTAAACTTTTCACCAAGCAACCTTAACTTGTAGTTGAGGAAGATTTGATAATAGTATCAATAATTTTCCTTAAGTACCAGAGTTGAGTTGGAAAAATTTCACTCATTTAAAAAGCATTTTTTGTTGTATTTGAATATCTATTTGGACAGCTTTTATTTTCAAAAATTGTAAGTAGTCATTGTTTAAAGCACAATTGGCCATGTTCATTATTGGTGTGCAATCCTCACATTTTGGTATCTATCCGGTAAGTAAATATCTTGGTATCGGCCAAGATTGCTGATACCAATACTTTTTATTGTGGTTCGTTATATGAAACTTCCGACCTTTAATTGGTTTGTCTTTTGAATTATTCTGTTAAATCATAGAGTTGCATTTAAAAGTGTCTACAAAATACTTCAATAACATTAACATAGAATAGAAAAATAAAATGTGTGCATTTTTCCTAAATACAAGCACATGATTTGAGAACAAGCATAAAGAATATTTTTCAAGGTATAGTCAAAAAATTAAAATACAAAAAAATATTTTTTTAAGGAGGAATCTCAAACTGAACTATCAATCTTATCACACTAATACTGATCTGATACCAACAGATCGATCCGCCCACCTCTGATGCACATTATGTACATAAATGATCGCAGTGCGCTATTTCTAATAAATAAACAGTATTTTAGGTTGTGAGTATGTTCTTTTGTTTGTTTACCTGCCACTTTGCTGCTGCTACACCTAAAGTTCCCCACTTTCCATTTCTATTTTAATCTCATTGTGAACAAAAAGTAAACTTTGTTTTATTACAATTCTTACTTTAAGTAATATTCACAACATATTACGTTCTGCCAAACTGCATTAAACAGGAAGTTAAATTTAGCCTTTGTTTTGGAGGAGAAAATTAAAACAAAGGTTTTGTGTATATGAGGCATGTTTGGAACTTAATACGTTTAGGAAAAACAAAACTTGAAAACTCCACCAGTCCTTCACATTCATTAAAAAAAAATTAAAAATCTGGGAAATTTAAAAGTTGGATGCAGGAATATTTACTTACATGAAAATGGCCTTAGACACAAATGTTGAATAAAGATGAGAAGGAAAAAAAAAACAAGTTTATTCTTGTCTACAACCAGTGTTTGGTTTGTACGAGTACACTGGAGTATATCTGTGCTGCTCCTCAGTCACACAAACATAACACACTGCTTCCTGCGGGGCGCTGAGGCCACGCCCCCAATACGCGCTGGATATTCCTCCATCACAGAAACAAATGATTTCTACAACCATGGACTACTGACACCACATCTCTGAGCCCAGAACACAACACTGATCAAGATACACACACACACACACAGAGTGTGGATTATATGCAGTAAAGATTTAATGAAAAATAAAATTTAATTATTAGGTAAACACATGAAATGTATTCAAAATATCACACATTCATTTTGTGACAAAATGATATTGTGATATCTAATATCTAAATCTGATATTTATATATCACTTTTTTTTCCTTTTTGTTTTTTAAAGACCCTCAATTTCAAGTTAATTCCCAAGAAAATCCACATCAAAGTTCATGTGAAGTTTTCAGTTTGGAACGTTTCCAAACTGACCCAGAAACTGAAGTTTCTGAAACTTCTCTTCCCCTTTGCATACGCTGATGATACTGGCTCTGTTTGTCTAGAAAGCCAGTGGGAACAAATTGTTCTAAACACACAATCCTCAGTGTGTCTTTTTTTGTGTTTTCTTTTTTTTACACTGCAAACACAAAATCTTACCAAACAATGGTGGTGTAGTTTCAAGAACAAATATCTTGAAATAAGACAAAAACTTCCACATGACTTTTCAGCAACAAATAAAAGCTTGTTTTAAGACAATAATTACTTAGTATTGATGAAAAACTCTAGTTTCACTTCATAACATTTTTCCATGGTTTAAGTGAAATATTCACTAATGGAACTAGACCAATTTAATCAATAACGAGGAATAATTAAGTCAAAACAAGCTCCTAACTCTTGCTGAAAGGTTTTGTCTAAGTACCTGAGATATTTGCACTAGAAACTAGAGCAAAAATACTTGGTAAGATTTTATGTTTTTGCAGTGCATCTTAACCCCAGCAAAACTGAGGTAACTAGATTTGGTTCTACAAAAAACCTAAACTTTATCTTTCCTAGTCTTTTCCGTCTTGAACAGTGGCTAAAAAAAACATTAGCTTCCATGTCGCATCATAACCACAATGAAAAGGAAAACACAAAGTCAAGGCTAAGCGATGTGTTCGGTTGTTGAGGGCGACATTATCGTGGGAATTGCTTCTTGGTCATGGATGTTTTTCCACCTGAATAAATGCGGCCAAAACCAAAGGTGAGATTTTCTCAGCTTTTCTGTGCGAGTTAATGCTACAGAAAAAAAATAAATAAATAAAAGATCAAATTGTTTTAAGAGCTTTCACACCACTTCCAAATGCTGCCGCTAAACATGGAGGTTTGCTCCAGGCTAACGTGACGAGTCCGACGACGAAAGGGGGGAAGTCCCAATATGACCTTTATTTAGACGGGAAATAAACAGAGCAGGGAGAGAGATTTCTACTAACCACCAGTATCAGCCGCCACTACGCGGCCGCAGCAAGCGGATAAACAAACTTCTTCCATTCCAACACCCGATGATTCATAATCCAGTGAATTAGGCGAACTCGAGAGTAGGCTTAATTTATGTGAAATTCAAATGTGGGTGTTTTACTGTGTGTTGTGGAACAATAAATCTTTTATTGCAACAAGAGGGACTAATCTTTATTAGCTTGTACCTCGTTGCGATGTGGTGGAAGGGAGAAAAAAGAAAAAAAAAAGAGCGCACAGTAAATTCACACGTAGAGGAGCTGGACTGACCGTGTTCGGCGGCCGCTTTGAGCGCCGCTTCCGAGTGACTGGATCCAAACGGGTTCCTGATGAAGCGCCGTCGTCTCCTTAAATCGTCCTCCCAGTAGTCCAGGCGCCAGAACTCCCTCGGCCAGCTGCAGCGAGACAGAGGTTGCACATGTGTTAGCAATTACCAGCCAGCATGGTATAGCGGGCCCGGCATTAGCACTTGGTCGGAACAGGCATGCATAAAGCCTGCATTGTGTTTGGACTCCCCCCTCCCCTTTTTTTTTTTCCTCACAACTCTCAGGATCCTGTCTTCAAAAACATTCACCCTGTGCATGCTGGGATGGCGAGTCATTGCAGCCCTTTGCTTTTGACAATGACTCCATCTCCATCTCTGAGGTAAAGGTGTCCCCACCCCATCCCCATCTTCCACCCTCCGGCTGTTTCCGAGGAGACGGACTGAGTGAGTGGGCACCATCACAGCTGAGTGAACACACGACACCATGGTCATTTCCCACACGCGTTTGTGGCACACGCTTCCATTCTGGGCTCATTTCGGGCCCAGCAGGACACTTCTTGTCAGGATTCATGGCCGGCAGGAGAAGGAGAAGGCCATTACCGACATGGAGGAAAAGGGGGGCGGGGGGCCGGCTAGAGCTACCAATATTAATCAATGTCTGTGGGCACAATTTTAATTTGTAGCTTAGATCTCCCTTTTTAACCAGAGTTATTCAGCAGGAAAAGGCTCTCAGGAAGGGGAAAGCGTTGACTTATTGATTGTACAAGCATTCTTCTCACTTTTCTATCTTGAAAGGTGAAAATGATATTCATTATACTTTCAACAACCAACAAAATATGATTAAACTTTGATGTAGAATTTTTTTAAATGTATTTTTTCCCACAAACTTTACCCAAATGACACGGTCAAGGTTAAGAAGGAAGAATATTCAAGTCTCCTAGCCTGTTTAGCCATGTATTTGTTAAAGGGGAAGTATTACGTGTTTTCCAGCCACATAGTTACTTGATTACACCTTAAAGTGATACTATGTTGCCTTCAGTTGTTAACAAAATGCTACATTTATCAAATATGACTTAAGAAATTTGACTTTGTAGCTTAAAGGCTTGAAATTGGGCCTCTGTCTCTTTAAAGAACTCCTGCTCTTTCTGAAACTCCGCCTTCAGGAAGTCATCACAACATGGCTCCTATATTAACCCTTTAGCAACATTTTTATCAGCATTGCACTGAGCAGTAGCTCCTATAATGAGCTCAGCAGATGTTCAGTTCCACCAGGTGTTTGCTAATTGCTGCTGGCTAGTCTGAAGGAGCTGAGCAGAGAAGTAACTGGGACAGACCTCTGCTAAACGATTATGTTCAAAGTCTTACTCCAAGTTGACTTAAAGTATCAAATATCTGTAGCAAGTACATTTAAATATTAAACATGCAAAGTGATGCACTTCAATACTTGCTACATTAGAAATAAAAATACATATTTGTGTTCCAAGAAAAAGAAAAATAGATTTTCCCTCAAGTATTGAATTTCATTATGAACCAGGCTAGGCTTTCATTGGTCTTTGTGACTTCACTAACACCTGCTAATCCCCGAGATTCTTTTAGGTAATTAAGACGTCAAGCAGAAAGAAGAACATTCCTGTAGTGAAGGAGTTTATGGAGGAGTTTAGAGTAACATTTGAAAATGCAAAGAATCTGGTGAGGAGGAGACAGGATGATTCACCATGGCGACCCCCAAGAGGAGCAGAGGAAAGCAGAAGAATGAGAAGGGTGTATATGTATATTTACAACTATCTGTGAAGTCAGAAAAATAAAACGCTCTGAGGTTCACTGAGGTTATATTGAGCGCTGAATATCAGGCCTCAGATGTAATTTCAATATGAGGACGATGTGTAAAACTACTGTTCCATTTAGGGAAGCAAGAAGATGTGAACTGTTCATTTTCTCAATAGGACAGGTTCAATCTGGCCGTTTAGTTATGAGAGGCATGACGTGTTACAGCCACGAGGGACGTCTGAGGCTAAGTTTGAGCATAATTAACATTTATTTTATTTGTAATTATTCTACATTTCCACAGAAAAATGTATCACTAATTTTTGAACATTTATTACACAGATGGAAGACGTGAGCAGTTTAAGGCATCAAAACAAATAGCAAAAATTACCAGTTAGAGCTGACAGTCCCAGATGTTGCAGTTAACAACATCTGGTTGTTGATCATGTGACTCTTGTGAGGCAAACAAAGTGTTTCCATTACAGTTTTGTGAAATAAACTAATTATGATGGGGCCCAAAAAAAAAAAAAAACCTTCAGCCAAAACCTTTTTTTTTCGAAATGGTCATGTTTCCATTTATTTTCAAAATGTTGAATTGTGTAATTATATGTTCAATGACAACACAGCTAGAGCAGCTAACCACCATTAGTGTTTAAATGCAGTGTAATGTGCTTTGGAGTCCTCTGACTTGATAAAATGTTATACAAGTACAGGACATTTACTGTTTCCATTCCAGTACAAGGAAGCATGTAGCTCTTTTGTCCCTGTAAGCAACAGTGTGACAAATTAATAATAATACAAAGCAATAAAAGTCAATCATTTAAGAAGGAAAACTATTCAGGTTCAAAATGTCAGCACTGTGTCTTAATCAGACGACAAACTGCAGCAGAAGGAACTCAGTTCAATTGCAAAACTGAAATTACGAAAGAAAAGATTCATAAAAACAAGGCAATTTCGAAAAAATTCTGTGCTATGATGAGGTGCTTTTTCAGCCATATTGAAGGAGAAGGATTTCACAAAACTGCAACGGAAACACTTTTTTCGCATCACACAAGTCACATGATAACCTGAAGTCCCTAATGGTGGATCGTTGAAGAAGACAACAGGAAGTAGTAGTAGAATGATGGTTTGTTTTTGTTTTTTTCATACAATCTGCAGCTGGGTCCACCAGAGCTCTCTCAGCTTCACACAGTTTATAAAAAGTTGTACGTCATTCCAACGTGTTGAATCCGTAGCTCTTCTGAAAAATAGTCGACTAATTTCCCCAAAACGGCGCACACTTAGCCGCTCCCAGGTAGGCGGGGCTTACCGCCTACCTGGGAGGCGGTAAGCCTCCCAGGTAGGCTCCAAACGCCTGAGTAAGACGCCAACGTCTCCTCTGATTGGCTGACAGATGATGAGCGGTAGCATCCTGGATTAATTATTTCATGTAACTGTTTACATCCTATGTCGGCATGAGTTTTAACTACTTATCGCATGAACGAGCTAATTCACATATGATTTTAATTTAATTTCTTATTGAACGGAAACATAAAATTGTGTTTTTCCGACATTAGCAGAACACAGAAAAAGATGTGAGCACACTTGTAATGGAAACACAGCTACAAAATGATCAAACCAAGAGCAGCTTTACGCAAGAAAATGAAAATATTCTAAACCTGTCTGCCTGATTAATTAAAATCTAAACAAAATGGAGGACCCAAAATGAAAAAGAAAAGCTTGTATGTTAAGTGGAATGAGGCATACAGGTTGAGGGAGTGCAGAGGTGTGCGCAGGACCAGATTTCTGCTTGGTGACAAAGACTGTGCTCCGTGTTCGTCTGCGATAGTCTCAGAACGCAAACAGCCAATTCATCATCCTGCCCACCGTCGGTATTCATCTATGAAAATAATTATCGAGGCCGAGCACAGAGTGGCTCCGAACTGAGGCTGCGCTCGCATCGCCTCGCATGAGGTGGGGAAACGTCCGACTCGCACAATACACATTAATCCATCAGGGTGGAGTAATTAGTTGCAGGGGGTGATGGGAGTTGGAGGAGGTGTGGGGGTTGGGGGGTATCACCTCTGCCAGCTTTATTCATCCAGCTGGCTGTGACCAGGCGACAGAGGAAGTCCTAATGATGAGGTGCCAGCAGAGGTGGACGACAGCGAGAGATATCTGCTCATCAATCCCCCCCGATGAGAGGAGACCGCCGTAAAAAGAACGACCAGCGCTCCACAACCCCCCGCCCTGCACACCCAGTGTGTTTCCACAAAGATAATAAATTATTCAGAGCCCAGGGCTTCCTCAGTACAATTTATAGACGCACTATTCTTCAAAATAACAACTATTAAAATAACAAAAGGGGCCAGCGTTTGTGTTCCAGCTCACGCCAGCCACTTGTGTAATTAGTAATTAGTTGGGTCATAAATGGTGTCTGGTAAAAAGGGGAGGCTGTTGATGAAAGCAGGTTTATTCAATGAATTAAATCATCATGGGGAAGTTATGTTTAAAGGTGGCCTACTATGTGTCCCTGAACTGGTTAATGTAGGTCCATACAAAATATATCCATCACATTTTTTTGCACAAATTCATTCTTTGATAGAGATTTTAAGCTCCTTTCAGAATGAACTGTTTTTAGGGCGTCATGTCACCTTAAATCCAAACAAGTTGCTGCTAGCCACTCCCCCTCCTCCCAACTCAAAGTTTACATTCGCACATAAAATGGAACATCTTTGACAAGCAGAAGTGGAGCCTCCTGTACAATCAACAGGAACGCAGCAAGTGATTTCTGGATGGTAAGTCAACAACAAAACACTTGTCTTTTCCAGCAGCCATTGCACAGTTGCAAATCCAGCTGAGCAATCATGTTGGAGTGCCGCTGGGTAACGGGCAGTGCCTGCTGATTTGCGACACTACATTGGTCGTAATCAGGAGTCTGACTGCGGTCACATTTAATTAGTAGATAAAATGACGACAAAAAATATATATATTTCAACAAAAAACAAGACCTGCTGCGTGAGTATAGACAGAGAAGCCTTGTGAGGTGGGTCACTACGCCAGTTTGCTGTTAAAGAAAATGAACAAAATTAAAAAGATGATTCTAAAGAATCGTGATTATTGAAACACTGGCTAACGTTCTATCAGTGCACAGGTTTCACAGGTTTCCAGGGAGTCTGCACTGCTTTTTTCTCCAGTTCTAAAACTACAATATATTTAGACAAAAATATTTAGATTGGTTCTTTAAAACCCAGCTTAAGATTAAAGAAATCACAAAACATGAGCGTTTCGCTGCTAGAGAAAACACAGAATTAGATGAGCTGAACTGATCAGTTACACATCAACCTTTGATTTGTGAAACCTTTTCTCAATATCAGAGAACAAAAG